TTGATGGGTTGTTTGACAGTCAGATCGAAGCATTTTAAGAGACTAGTATAAAGTCGGCAAGGAAGCAATGGTGCGGAGGGAAGAGGATGCATTGGGATGTGTTAGCCCCATGTTTGATGTGATCGCTTCTGCATCGACGAAGCCTTGCCCGATGTGTGGATGTGAAGGAGTTTGACGCATTTAGCAAGACACGTTGATTTTGCACGGATGCACATGCGATTGACTCATTTGGCCAAGAAGAGTTGGAATGAAATGAAAGTGTGAGAAATGCGCACATCAAGCGAGGGCTGTAGCCACGCATTGCAGGATTACTTATGGCAGTACTGCATGGCGAGTTGCTCGATGGCATGTGTAGGATTGTTGATGAGTGTGTAGACTCTCTCAATATCTTTGCCAGAAATTGTCCGAAGGACAGAGACAGATGTCAACAGACCAGTTAAGGGCAAAATGTTGCATGATAGTGCACTGATAGGATTTAGGCGACGAGGCATGAACTGATTACAACTTATATTGCCTAACGGTCTATAGTCCACAACTTCAAATGTCAAAATTGGTCCACATTTTGATGGTAAAAATCAGGTACAGAATGAAACATGATTGGCAGTTGAAGGCAATTTGCAAAGTGCTTGAAGAATGAAGCACTTTGGCTTAATGTACACTGTCTTTTGGAGTTGAGGTGTCAACTCTGTACGAAATTTGTACACAATTTTTAAGGCGACAAAATGGAATTTATGTTGGCCCTTTACTCTAGTTGTTTATTGCTGAATAATAAAATTAAAGATGCGACAGTCTGAGACAAAGAATTGGTTGGGAGTAGATACACAAACCAATGACGAGGGTATATAAAATTTTGTAAAATATGAAAGATCATCGAGTAGGGTTTCTATTTCTGTTTACTATGAGAATCATTTAAATCAACTTTTTCTAAAATTTCTTCTAACGACACAAAATGGTCCATTTGGCATTGTTGTTATGAGTAGAATTATAGGTAGATGTAGGGAAATAGTACGAAGTAAACCAAAGGGAATGGAGATGAAAACCACCAACCAAAACAGAAAATAAAGTACACAAAACCATGAATCAATTGCGAAGATGAAACACCGACAGCTTGAACACGATATCGTTGTTCTCAAACTATATTTGCCCCCTTTTGGATTGAAAATGATGCTTGAAGGATTAAGGCAAATTGTTTGTAGGATTTAAACAAACCTTATAAAGAATTAACACTCAAGCATTAAGTGTAATTCTCCAAAAAACTTGAAGAACACTAAAGAAAGATTTGAATATAATGAAGAAAAATTGTAAATTCTTTGTTGTTTTGGAATGATTTTTGTTCTTGAATATGACGATGATTTTTGTATGTTTTTAACATATTTTTAATGATCACAAACCACCTATATATAATTATAAAATATTACTATACGAAATAGTGACAAAAACCCTCCAAATGCCACCAAAATTCAAAAGCCAACAGCCAAATAACGGCTAATTGGTTGTTCTATGTGACTGCATAGAACAAACATATGCGGTCGCATAGAACAACCGGTTCTAAGGAATTTTATCCCTGTAATGGCCTATGCGACCATATAAGCCAAAGGCCACCACAGCCAACTTTGGCTTATACGGTCGCATAGGCCAAAATTTCCTCCAATAATGGTTTTCATTCCACATAATTTTACAACTGTTTTTTTCATCAACTTTGAACAATATATTCAACAATTGTCTACTTCTTCAAAATTGAATAAAACTCTATATTCAAAATATACAATATTTACGCGTAAGATTTAGATATCTTTCGATTTGAATCTAACCATAGTGTAATTCAAACAAAATAAAGTCGAAATTAAAGGTAGCATGAAAACTTTAGACCAGTAATTTCATATGACAATACCGGTAAGAACGCACACATAAGTATCACGTGTTATCAAGTTCCTCAATCTCACTTAACGCTATTATGACATTGCGTTCATCATTTTCAACAAACATTAAAGAGAACTTCCTCGAAATTTATTTAGGTGAAGTTATTCCAGTATCTTTGTTACTTTTTGAAGATACTTGTACTTAGTACTGAACTTCATTAAGAACTTAAAGCTCAACCCTTCCTTTTCTAAATACCTTGGATCGAACGTCGTTACCCATCTGAATCTCTTGTTCTCCATCAACTTCATAATAAGTCTTGAATAAGGACTTATATGAAATATGTATAGTTGGACACGTATTGTACCAACAACTGGGAACATTTCCCTTGATAGCATTGATTTCACTTATGGTAGCCATAATATTATCTTCTTTGATGGAGTTTACTTTTCCTTCGGAGTTGTTTCTCTTCCGATATCGACATTCTTTTGCATAATGCCCAGATTTTTCACACACGAAACAACCAACTTTGATCTTCTTCTTGGAATTGTTAAAGTTTTTCTCTTGTTGGATTTAGTAGAATGCTCGATCTTCTCCACGGCATTGGCTTTAGATGTGCCTTCATAAGAATTATCATTTTTATCTCTTGCCATCGACTCTTCCTCAATTCGGAAATGTTTTTGCAATTGTTCCAAAGTATAGTTTTCGGAACTATGCACTATTTTCTTCCGATATCCTTTCCAAATTCCGGAAGTTCAACAATAATTGCTCCCACTTGGAAAGTTTCCGGAATCTCAATCTTGACCGCCTACAACTTGTTGACAAGTACTTACAATTTATGAATTTGGGGAAGAAGGAGAATATTCTCTAGAAACTTGAAATCAAATTACCTTGAGATTAAAAATTTCTTAGTGCCATCTTCTTCGGCTTTGTACTTACTCTCCAAAGCATTCCACATTTCCTTTGCCGATGTCGTGTTGGTGTAGATATCATATAACCGGTCCGATAATGCATTTAAAATGTGACCGCGGCATATGATTTCATCTTCTTGGCACTTTTGTCTTTCGGCCCTTACTGCATCAGTTTCTCCATTTGTAGGTTCTAGTAATGGCGTCAATTTCGGATCAAGTATGTAAAAGATTTTCAGTGCTGTTAGTAAGAACTTCAACTTATCTTGCCATCTCAAGAAGTTCATGCCATCGAAACGATCCAACTGAACAATATCTTGATTCATCAACTTGATTGTTGCTATCATGTTTTCGTTCTCCATCGAAGGAAGTATAGTTTTAGATTGTAGGGAAATAGTATGAAATCCACCAAAGGAAATGGAGATCAAAACCATGAACCAAAACAGAAAATAAAGTACATAAAACCAAGAATCAATTGCGAAGATGAAACATCATGGCTTAAACACGATATCGTTATGCTCAAACTATATTTGCCTCCTTTCGAATTGAAAATGATGCTCGAAGGATTAAGGCAAATGGCTTGTAGGATTTAAACAAGCCTTGTAAAGAATTAACACTCAAGTATTAAGTGTAATTCTCCAAAAAATTGAAGAACACTGATGAAGGATTTGAATATGATGAAGAAAAATCGTAAATTCGTTGTTGTTTTGGAATGATTTTTGTTCTTGAATATGAATATGATTTTTGTATGTTTTCAACCTATTTTTAATGATCACAAACCACCTAAATATAGTCATGAAACATTAATATACAAAGTGGTACCAAAAATCCTCCAAAAGCCACCAAAATTAAAAAAGCATCGGCCAAACAACGATTAATTGGTTGTTCTATGCAACTTTATAGAACAACCAGTTGCGGGGAATTTTATCACTGCAACGGCCTATGCGACCGCAGCAAAGTAGCATAGGCCAAAATTTCCTCCAATAATGATTCCACATAATTTCACAATCGTTTTTTTATGAACTTTGAACAATATATTTAAAAGTAAAGTTTTTGATAATAAAGTTTTTATTAAAAAGTTGTTGACTATTTGGCCGTGATTTCAAAAGATAATTTTTGTATAATCTTAATATTTATTTATGGGTAATTAGCACAAAACATCCCCACCTTCCATTGTTATTGTGGAAAACGTCATTGTCTTTCATTTTTTGGTATTTTTACCTTTATTTCCACATTTCATTGCACAAAAGGTCATTTTTATCCATTTTCCCAATTAAAAATTGTGAAATGACGAAAATACCTTTCCTTTAAATCAAACAAAAGAAATCACTAATTGCAAACATAGTCCCAACTTTTTTGAAATGCACAAATAAATCTCAAATAAGTTATTAAAAGGGTAATTAGCACATAAGGTCCCCTACCTTTCATTATTATTGGAAAAAACATCCATACCTTTTATTTTATTTTTTGACATTTTCTTCCTTAATTATAATTTGATAGCGCAAACCATCATTTTTATCCATTTTTATCCAATTTCTAAATATATTTGGACATCATTTGCGCTTTTCAAAAAAAAATTGGGACTATATTTGCAATTAGTTTTTTCTTTTTCCTTCTGTTTTATTTAAAAGAAATGGTATTTTCGTTATTTCATAATTTTTAATTGAGAAAATTGATAAAAATGACCTTTTGCGCAATGAAATGTGAAAATAAGGATGATAATGCCAAAAAAAGAAAGAAGGGCCCCCCACCGCCCTGCCCCTAGGGTATCGTGGAAGAGATAAATCACAAGATATACCTCAACAGGTCAGGGTACAAAAGCTATCATACTGGTGCCCACAAATAGTCTAATTTCATACCTTGTAAGAGGCATGAATCGAATCTTCACACTGCGACTGTCAGTTTAGTTGAGACTACCTCACTCCTGTTATCTGCACTATTGAACTAAGCTACAGGGCGGGCCTTTTTAAATTCTGCATTAAGTTGCTCAACATGACGTGTATCTCTTATCCATTAAAAAAAATTAAAAAATCGTGAATAAAAAAGTCATATGCCATAACGTCATGAAGGAGGTGGAGGAATGGTGGGGAGCAGGAACTTACATTGAAGTTTCACAAACGCGCCGACCTACTAACCGCCAAACCGACACGGTTATATATATATATATATATTACAGACGCGTATATATACACAAACTTATATTACTCATTTCGTGTTGTATATTGTCAATCTGAAATGGCGGTTAAGAAAGAACAAATAGCAGTAATACCTTCTTCGACGACTTCGTATAGCTCACCAGAAAATGGGGTTAAAAAACCCCAGTCGTCTCCCAACCCAGCTTTCCAGAGATTGCGCCGGAAATTATTGCCGAGAAAGGCCGAAGCGGATGACCTAAAACCATCAATTTCAAAATATTCTTCAAGTTCCGATGACGAACACGGCGAGGCTCTGGCAGAGTATCAATGGAACGACACGGAAATGGTGGTTAATTCTTCAAGTTCCGATGACGAAAACGGCGAGGCTCTGGCAGAGTATCAATGGAACGACACGGAAATGGTGTTTAAATACTTGGACGAAAACGGCGATGGTAAAATCTCACAGGAAGAGCTACGGAAGTGCGTGAGGGCTTTAGGTGGAGAAATGTCGGAGGAGGAAGCGGAAATGGCAGTGCGGTTGTCGGACGCAGACGGCGATGGAATGTTAGGGCTAGAGGACTTCACCAAGCTGATGGAGGGCGGCGGCGAGGAGGAGAAAATGGAGGAATTGAAGGAAGCATTCAAAATGTACGCAATGGAGAATAGTGAATTCATAACGCCTAAAAGTTTGAAGAAAATGCTGAATCGATTGGGGAATTCGACCTCCATTGATAATTGCAGAAGCATGATAAGCATATTCGATATTAATGGAGATGGCGTACTCAGCTTCGATGAATTCAGAGTTATGATGCGATAATTGATTCTCCTATTTGGATGCCTTGTAATAAAGTAATAAAATAATATTATACGTAAATTCATTTTCTTATATTTTAAGCATATATTTTTTTCTTAAATTACTATCTAAAATACATTTTCCTTAAAGTTAATTTTTAATGGAGCTCAAACAAGGGCTAAATAATATTTTAAATAGAAGTATTTCATATTTATTGACAACAAGACATATTAAATAAAGATATATTAGAAAACTAAAAAAATCTATTACTCTCAACAAGTAAAATGACGTATAATTTGGAACAGACGAAAAATAAAAACAAAAATTTCTTTATAGGATAGAGGAAAAACAAATATTTCTAAGCCCTTGTTTGATGACCATTTTTTTCTCAAAAATAATATTTTAAATATTGATTTTTAGGAGAATATATGGTTAAAAAGTAGTGAAATTTTTTTTAATTTACATGCGTAATATTTTAATATGTTGATGTGTAGTTAAAAATGAGTATTTACAAAAGTGGGCTTTTAAATAATGATTGTCAAACAAGTGCTAAGTAGAACTCTTTGACATCCTAATTTTAATGTAGAATAATGTGGCTCGTATAATTTGTACGTCTCATTTAGTATCACATACATTGATATTGGAACAAAATTGGTATTAGAACACTTGTGATGTAACGACCCAAATTTTAAAGTTTAAAACATTACTAAACATTTCATATCATATCATTTCTTTAACTTTCATAAGTACTATAATTCATCAATATAAAAAAATAATTTAAACGAGATAAAATCAACAGCATCTTGTTATCCTACCTTATTGGATTTCTTAAATTAAAAGAAATCACGTTCACTTAATTTTCTGCATCTGTTGTGTTTTTCCATATACATACAGTGTAGAAAAAGTTAATTGCTTTCAAGAGTTATATTATATAACAAATTCTATAGAAAGTGGGGATAAGGGTGTTGGACTTCAGATAGGAAATGACATGTTTCAAACAACACGTCTCTATCGTGTAAAATGAAATATATCATCAACTACTTTATGGACACGTGGCAGTTAGAGATTCTTCAACAAAAATATAAGAAAAGAACTACTTGGTAACCCCCTTCAATATTTTGAAAATTACTTTGGCTAATTGAAGAGTTCTGGATACTTGAGTTTAAGTTTATCTTCCTTCTCCCAAGTTGACTCATCAAGTCCATGATTTCGCTATTGAACCTTGACCAAGAGAACTTCTCTATTTCTAAGTTGATGCACTTTTCTATCTAAAATCTTCATCGAAATTTCTTCATATGATAAGTCTTTTTGTATCCCCAATATCTGATAACACACCATATGATTGAGATCATGAACATATTTTCTAAGTATCGAAACATAAAACATGTTATGCACTGCTGTAAGTTGAGATGGTAAGGCAAGTCAATAAGCTACAACACCAATCCTTTCAAGAATTTCGAAAAGTCCAATAAATCGTGTCCTCAATTTTCCAATCTTACCAAATCTCAATACACCCTTACCATTCTTACCAAGTCTCAATACACCCTGCATTGGTGCTACTTTCAGAAAAACTTTATCACCAACTTGAAATTTCAAATCCTTTCTTCTACCATCATCATAGCTTTTCTGTCGGTCTTGTACTGTTTTTATTCTTGCTCTAATCTTATCAACCACCTTAACTGTTTATTCAATAATTTCAGGTCCCAAAATCATATTCTCTCTGATCTCATCCCAATGGATAGGGGATCTGCACTTCTTACCATAAAGAGCTTCATATGGGGCTATGCTTATAGTAGCCTGGAAGCTATGGTGTAAGCAAACTCCACTAAAGATAGATGTGTTTCCCAACTATCGCCAAGATACAAAACACATGCCATCAATATATTTTCAAGAGTTTGAATGGTTCTTTTCGATTGTCCATCTGTCTATGGATAATAAGCAGTATTAAATTTCAATTTCATCCCCATGGCTCCTATAAGTTTTTCCAAATTGGAACTCTATGCAATCTAACCATCTCTCTGATATATAACTGGGTGATCTGTTCTATATTAAAATTTACTTTGATTGGCAAAACATGGGCAGATTTCGTCAAACGATCAACTACTACCTTAAGAGCATTGTGACTTCTTGTTGATCTCGTGAAGCCCACCACAAAGTCCATCGCTATGTGTTCCTATTTCCATTATGGAATATCCAATGCTTTCAGCAGTCCTGATAGCCTTTAATGTTCTGTCTTAACCTGCTTATAGACAATACATTTATCTACGAACAAACAAATTCTTCTCTTTACGTTTCTCCACCAAAATGTGTCTCAGAGATCTCGATACATTTTTGTACTGCCGTGATGTGTAGCATACGAGGTGGAATGAGCATCTTTCAATATCTCATTTCTTATACTTTCATCTTTGAGTACACAACCTTCCTCTAAAATTCAGTGTGTTATTTGCAGATACTTCAAATATTATACATTTGTTTGAACCAACATCAGCCTTAATTTTCAGTAGGAATGGATCCTTATCCTTATACTGTGCTTCTTTGATTCAATCCCGAAGAGTAGGTTAAATCATAGATGCTTTTATTCTCGCTGTAGCCTGAGTTGGCGGCGTGATAACTTCCAATCTCAGTTTTTCAAAATCCTTTACCCAGTGTTCATGCACCATGGATAAAACTACTAACTGCAATCCTCTCTTCTTACTTAAGGCATCTGCTGTTAGCCCAAGAATAACTATCCAAGAGGGGGGTGAATTGGTTATTGAAACTTTTTCGTTACTTACTCAAGATTCTAATATAGTGAATACGCAAATATTATAAACACAAGTAAATGCGTAAATAGAACAATATAAATTAGTGCGAAGTAAATGCGTTAAGTAAAAGAGATAGAGAATGCAAACGATATGTTATGGAGGTTCGATCCAAAGCAATGATCTACGTCCTCCATTACCAAGCTCTCCATCACGAGCAAGGTCAAATGCACTATAATGGTAACTTACAAACAAGGAGTACCGATCCTTACGTGACTTACAACAAGGAGCACTTATCCTTAGGTGACTTACAACAAGGAGCATCTATCCTTAACAACAATTGAGTTTTCACAAGGCTCTCGAAACCACCAAAATATAAATGATAATTTTACAATT